AGGAGGAGGAGAAGGAAGATGAGGAGAACAGAGGAGTATGAGAAGGGGAATGATGAGCAGGAGGAGGAAGAGGAGGATTGGGGGGAGGAGGAGGAAGAGGAGGATGAGGAGGACGAGGAATATGATGATGCTGCTGCTGCTGCTGCTGATGATGAGGCTGATCATGCTGCTGCTGCTGATGATGATGCTGACCATGATGCTTCTGTTGCTGATTATGGTAATTCTAAACGCTTCGCGTATCCCCACCACCTCCTGGTGAGCTGGCCCGGCCGGCTTGTGTAGCACCCCGCAGCGAATTAGGTTCGCCCGTCGGCCCAGACGACTTCTTTTGCCGCCTGCGCGTTCGCTCGCGGCCGCGACCAAAAAGTATCCCCACCAGCCCATCCAGAAACGACGCCCAGGCGAGTATAGGGTCGTCCTGAGGGGCTTTTCGGCGTCTTGGGTGCCTCGGGGAGGCCTCTTTGGGCCGCTTGGGATCCTCTTGGGGGCCTCCTGGGGGCCTCTTGGGGCCTCTTGGGGCCATCTTGGGGCCTCTTGGGGCCTCCTGGGCGCTTCTTGGGGCCATCTTGGAGGACATCGGTCAAAGAAGAGGGGAGCTTCAATTAGGGTTGCCCCCTCAGGGGGCCAAAATGGAGCCAAAACCATAGTAAAATCTATGATTTTGGCTTCCTCGCCGAGGCCGTTTTGGACGCCCTGACACCTCCCCGCCCCTCCCGTCCAGGTCCACGGGGAGGGGGTAGGGGAAGGGCTAAACCTCTCCCCGAAGGGGAAGAGGGAGGGGTGGAAGAGGAAATGCCCTAAACCACCGACGCCCAGAGGGCTGGTGGGATTTTGATGATGCTGACGATGATGATGCTATGATGGTGATGCTGCTGCTGCTGCTGCTGATGATGATGATGATGATGATGATGCTGATGATGATGATGATGATGATGATGATGATGATGATGATGATGATGGTGAGGATGAGGAAGAGGATGAGGAGGGGGTGGAGGAGGAGGAGGAGGAGGAGAAGGAGAAGGGAGAGGAGGAGGAGGAGGAGGAGGGGAGGAGGAGGAAGAGGAAGAAAAGCATGATGATGATGATGCTGCTGCTGATGATGATGATGAGGATGAGGAGGAGGAGGAGGAGGAGGAGGAGGAGGAGGGGTAGGAGGAGGAGGAGAAGGAGGGGGAGGAGGATGAGGAGGAGGAGGAGGCGGAGGAGGAGGATGAGGAGGAAGAGGAAAATGATGATTCTGCTGCTGATGATGCTGCTGCTGATGATGATGCTGATCATGCTGATGCAGATGATGATACTGATGATACTGATGATGCAGATGATGCTGCTGCTGATGATGATGGTGATGCTGCTGATGATGCTGATGATGCTGATGACGGTGATGTTGATGATGATGAGGATGAGGATGAGGAGGATGAAGATGAAGATGATGAGGATGATATTGATGATGATGATGATGATGATGATGATGATGATGATGCTGATGCTGCTGATGATGATGATGATGATGCTGATCATGATGATGCTGATGCTGATGCTGATGCTGCTGCTGATGATGATGAGGAGGATGATGATGCTGATGATGATGATGATGATGATGATGATGATGATGATGATGATGATGATGATGACGATGATGGTGGTTATGGACGATGAGGAGGAGGAGGAGAAGCAGGAGCAGGAGCAGGAGCAGTATCTGGATGAGAAGGAGGAGGAGGAGGAGGAGGAGGAGGAGGAGGAGGAGAAGGAGGAGGAGGAGGAGAAACGTTTTGCTATGCCAGAGGGGCCGGGCTACACCCATCGACGAGACGCCGCCCCGAGACTGGGCACAAACCGCCCCCAGCTCGGCACGGCGCCCCGCCGACACGGGTTTCGCTGCGTCCACCCGGGGTTGGCTCTCTCGTCAGTCCGGCGGCCGTCGCGCCGCCTGCCCGGCCGCAGGCGTGCCGCCTCGCGCATCACGCGGGCCGCCGACGCGGCGGGCCTGCCTCAGCCCCGAAAACACCCGAGTCCAGGCGCTCGGGTACCGACGACCTGGAGCCCATCATCCACCACCCACCAAACCACCCCAACCCAACCCGACGGCTTCAATTTGCCCTCCATTTCCAGTGGGGGGGGGGTCGGGGAACACTGAAACAACACACGGAACCCATACCCCCCCCAACCCGAAATTCGGGTCAAGTTCAGGTCTTGGGTTTGGGTTGGGGTGGTCTGGTAGGCAGTCAATCATGCTCACCAAGTTCATCGGCGCCTTCACGAGCTGCAGCGCTGAAGGATCTTCATCGCCGACTCCTGCTTCATGACCTGCGCGCGTTCCCAACGGTGCATCGGGACATTCATCAGCAGCCCACGCCATCCTGCAAGCATCATCCGTACCTCCAGCACGCTCTTCACGATGATCTGCACCTCACCTCATCATTGTCGAGTGCATGGCCTCCGTCCTCCTTGTCGACCAGCGCGTCGACGTCATTCTCGAAGCCTGCGGGCCTTGGGACCGCGTGCACCGCGACCCTGCGCCCAAACCCAGAAGTGGGGTCGACCCCAACTTCGGGGTCAGTGCGCCCACCCGTGGGATGCTCGAAGGATTGCAAAAAAACCCAGGATTGCAAAAAAACCCTTCGTTTTTTTTTTTTTTTTTTTGCAATCCTTCGGGTTTTTTTGCAATCCTTCGGTTTTTTTGCAATCCTTCGGGTTTTTTTGCAATCCTTGGTTTTTTTGCAATCCTGGGTTTTTTTGCAATCCTTCGTTCAAGGGAGGGCTCGGCCGTGGACTCGTTCATGAGCAGCTCCACGTCGTACGCGCCCTCCTCCGCCCTTGTCATCGACGAGGCCCTGCGTCTGCAGCACGCCGTCGCCGTCAGTGTGGAAGCGCTGCGCCCCCCTCCTGCGTGCTCTGGCTCTCGCTCTGGAGGTCAAGGGTTAAGTCGGGCATGTCCCTCTACAGGAGGAATGTCTAAACATCGAAAAGATCGTCGGGGGACGATTTTTGTTGTTTCTCATGTTTGTCAGTTTTCTTCCAAAACCCGCCCATAGGACGACATGCCCGACCTCAGCCAAGGGACTCCCTCCACGCCAGGGACGCTGCCTCGATGTGGTCCGCCCACCGTTCGCTGACGCCACCGCTCACTTCGACCACGGCCTGCACGACACTTTCCTCCATGAGCCCCGGCAGGTTGGGCTCGGCCATGGGCTCCAGCTTGTTGTTCGAATCCCCCCCCCGTCCTCCTCCTCCTCCGCCTTCTTCTCCTCCTCCTGATCAGGCCCGCCGCTCCAGAATCAGAAGCATAGTGCAGCTTGCATGATTGTATCTGATGGTTTTGTCCCAGCTGAATTGCACAGCGCATTCAGCTCTCTCCAGAGGCATCGGATGGACCGTATGGTGATTGTCATGTCATGTCCTCCTCCTCCTCCTCCTGCCTCCTCCTCCTCCTCCTCTTCCTGCCTCCTCCTCCTCCTCCTCGAACTCGGCTGAGTCCTGCGAGACAGACCCCTCCACGAGCCCCGCCAGGTTGGCCTCGGCCGTGATGTCCTTCGCGGACTTCTGCATGTGCATGAACCCCTCCATGTACGCAGACTGGGACGGGCGGGAGCGCGGGCAGGTTCTTCAAGTACACGGTCTCCTCTGCGAGCCTGCCTTCCTCCACGACTGACTCGGTCTTCGCACCCTGCGGGTCGGAGTCACGGTGCCACGCGTCGAGCTCGTCGCCCGCCTGCAGGGTCCTCCTGAGATGCTCGGCCATGATCTTCGCATGATCCTCATCGCGAATATCGAACGTTGCGGCGCACGGGATGCCGAGGTCCTCCATGTCGCCGCCACGACCGATGAAGTCCTTCACGACCAACGGGGGCACGCCCTTCTCCATGCACGTCGGGCTGGCCGTGCCCTCCACCGCCTGGGCCTGCATCACCGCAGACTCCTCCTGCGCGACTGTGGCAACCTCCAGCAGCGCCACCTGCTGGGCCGTGGCTCCCACTCCGCCTCCGCGCCGCGGCGGCGCTGCGGGCGGCACCGCCGGCGCCCCAGCGCTCGCAGCACGAGAGCGCCTCGACCGGCCCATGGCCCGCACGCCGCCGATATGTTCAACCCGATCTTGCGCGGCTTTCCGCGTCCTCAAGCCGCAGGCCCAGCCCCAGCTGGGCAAATTCAGCGTCGGGACCTGCGCCAAGGGGCAACAACTGGCAAAGGGACCAGATCCCTTGGGCCCAGGTGGCTTGAGGAGGAGGAGGAGGAGGAGGAGGAGGAGGAGGAGGAGGAGGAGGAGGAGGAGGAGCAGGAGGAAGAGGAGGAGGAGGAGAGGAGGAGGAGGAGGAGGAGGAGGAGGAGGAGGAGGAGGGAGGAGGAGGAGGAGGGAGGAGGAGGAGGAGGAGGGAGGAGGAGGAGGAGGAGGAGGAGGAGGAGGAGGAGGAGGAGCAGAAGGAGGAGGAGGAGGAGGGAGGAGGAGGAGGAGGGAGGAGGAGGAGCAGAAGGAGGAGGAGGAGGAGGAGGAGGAGGAGGAATCGCATGGTGCTGCTTTTTGGGGCGAGGGATGGGATCTTTATTGGATTTCTGGACCGACCATGGTCCTCGGTAAGGGAGGGCAGTCCAGCCCCTCCCCGTGGGGTGTGTCAGCCCAGGCTCTCGGGACTTGCAGAAGATGCTTCTCGCTCGAGTTCATAGACTTCCTCAGCTGGTCATGTGCCGGCGTGTATGTTGAGGGCTGGGTTTTCCATCACTCTGATGATTGGTATGAGGCGGAGACGGCCTTCCAGACCTCGAAGGCTTCAGCGTCCAATTGAGCCCAGCTCGTGTCGAAGTCTTTGAGGTCTGGAACGCCATGCGCCTCCTACGCACAGTTCTGGTGGTGGAGCATCGGGCACTGACTGTGTCGGGCATCTTGCAGCTGCGTGGCCAGTCCCTCATGCACGCACGGGGTGCTCCTCCGCTTCTCGCGAAACTGGAGAGATCTCCTGCAGCAGCTCTTCCGCCTGTGGGATCCCGGGCGCTTTTTTACCTGCCTTCAGGCGACGTGCCCAAGCTGGCCGACTTCGGCTGGTGCGCCGAGCTGACCGACAGCAGCGGGCCGCGAAAGACCTTCTGCGGCACCTGGGACTACCTCTCGCCGGAGGTGGCAGCGCCCCCAGCCCATACGGTCGCTGGTCGACTATAGATACCGTTCCGTCGAACTCGAAGGTGCACGCGGAGGAGGAGGAGGAGGAGGAGGAGGAGGAGGAGGAGGAGGAGGAGGAGGAGGAGGAGGAGGTGAGGAGGAGGAGGAGCAGGAGGAGGAGGAGGAGGTGGAGGAGGGAGGAGGAGTGAGGAGAGGAGGAGGAGGAGGAGGAGGTGGAGGGAGGAGGAGGAGGAGGAGGAGGAGGAGGAGGAGGAGCAGGAGGAGGAGGAGGAGGAGGAGGTGGAGGAGGAGGAGGAGGAGGAGGAGGATGAGGAGCAGAGGAGGAGGAGGAGGAGGAGGAGGAGGAGGAGGAGGAAGGAGGAGGAGGAGGAGGAGGACCAGGAGCAGGAGCAGGAAAGCAGGAGCAGGAGCAGGAGCAGGAGCAGGAGCAGGAGAGGGAGGAGGAGGAGGAGGAGGAGGAGGAGGAGGAGGAGGAGGAGGATGAGGAGGAGGATGAGGAGGAGGAAGAGGAGGAGGAGGAGGAGGAGGAGGAGGA